GTGATATTGTATTCCCCGAAATGTATCGTGCACCCTAATAAATTTATCTGGGGTTAGAGAACAGAACAGCTACTAGACAGACATAGAGGCCAGAAAATGGTGGCACTCACACCTTTAATCCTAGCCTTCTGGAGGCAGAGATCCATTAGGATCTCTGTGAGTTCAAAGCCACACTGGAAACAGACAGGCATGGTGACTCACGCCTTTAATCCCAGGAAGTGAGCCTTTAATCCCAGGAAGTGATGGCAGAAAGCAGAAAGGTATATCAGGTGTGAGGACCAGGAACTAGCTGGTTAAGCTTTTAGGCTTTTAGCAGCAGTGTAGCTAGAGTTTTCCTGTCTTTCCCCACAGTCAGAACAAATCTCTGTCACCCGCCAGTCCCACAGCTGCTCAGACCCAACCAAGTAAACACAGAGGTTTATATTGCTTACAAACTGTATGGCCGTGGCAGGCTTCTTGCTAACTGTTCTTATAGCTTAAATTAATCCATTTCCATAAATCTATACCTTGCCACGTTGCTTGTGGCTTACCGGCATCTTCATATGCTTCTTGTCTTGGCGGCGGCTGGCAGTGACTCTCTTTTGCCTTCCTGTTCCTTCTTTTCTCCTCTCTGTTAGTCCTGCCTACACTTCCTGCCTAGCCACTGCCAATCAGTGTTTTATTTATTGACCAATCAGAGCAACAGATTTGACATACAGACCATCCCACAGCACAGCAGTTCAGCTGAGATTCATTCTGAATGAGGACTCAGAGGCTTCCAGTCTGAGGAAACAGGATCAGCTGAGGAACTGGTCAGGTGAGGAAGCTGTGGCTTGTTCTGCTTTTCTGATCTTGCAGCATTCACCCCAATACCTGGCCCCAGCTTTGTTTTTTATTAGTAAGACCTGTTAAGATTCGTGTTACATCTGGCACCCAATGTTTGTAGTACGAATTCATGAAAAAGCTGCCTGCCTGTGGCCTTGTGGGCCCCAGCTCAGGCCTGAGCTACACTCGGTCGGTTGTGGTGGTGCATGCCCGCAGGATTTACTGAAGGAGGCAGAGGCAGGAGGATCCCGAGTTTGAGGCTGGCCTAGGAAGCTTGCTAAGGAGAAGCTTCTGCCAGGGCTAAGCCACAAATGGTGGTGTTGGGACCATGGAGGCAGTGGCTGCTGCTCTGAGTTGCTGGCTGCTTCTCATCACGTTCGTGACTGCGGTGATGCTGCTACCTGGGACGAAGAGTTTACTGCTGCTTGTTTGGAGAATTGCCAGGACCATCACAAGAAAACATCAGCAAAGGTCAGTTTGGAAAAGTTTGGCAAGACAAATGGTGGGGAGAAATTGCTGTGAAGATTTTTCTCTTCTAGGGAAGAACATTCATGGTTCTGAGAGACAGACATTTATCAGACTGTGATTGCTCCAAACCACAGAGACAGACAAAAAAAAAAAAAAAAAATTCTACTGGGAACCATGACCACGCCTAACAGTAACTTTGAAATCTTCAAAAGAATGATGGGACTCCACAATGACTCCACATGGACTGTGGTATAGCCATTAAGTTGATTATCACCATGGAAAGATTGGCTTTGGACCACAAACTGCTCAGGACAATTTTGAAATGGCTAGCTAAGATATCCAGATTCACAGACAACTCAAGCAAGGACTTGAGACAAGCCCTACATTTTCCCATTATGCAGAGACTGGACAACAAATGATACAGCTACCTCAACCAGGACTTGACAATTAACCCAAAAAATTTCTTTTCAGGATTCCATAAAGATGTCTTCGCCCCCAGAAAGCAGGAAGTAATTTTAAGAAAATGACACCCACATTCCCAAGAGGTGGGATGGGAAGTTTTTGGTTGTTTAATGAGTTATGGATATTGTCATTGTTTATGATGGTTGGTTACAAGTTGTTAATTGATAATGGTCAGGAAAAAAGCTGAACAAGGAGATTAGATTCAGAATTTTTGTTTGAAAAAGAGAATATAGATATGAGGCAGATCATTGAATCTACTCTTAAGAAAAAAAGATAAAGAAATAATAGGATAAATGGGTAGATCATTGAATCTACTTTAAAAAGAAAAAGGGGAAGATATAAAAATGACAAAAAGTATAGATTATTGAATATTATGAAAAGAAAAAAGAGAGAATATGGATATGATAAGATAAAAGGAGATTATTGAATCTACTTTTAAAAAGGAACTACTTATTTTAAATAGGATAAGTAATGAAAATTTTTGTCTGAGTTTATCAAATGTTACTGGACTGGACATTGTTAATATATATATATATATATAATGGAGTTTTTTGTCTGAATCTGTCAAATGTTAATAGACTAGACATTGTTAATGTAATTTTTGACTGTATATGTTGTATATACTTATTGGATATAGTTTTTCTTGTATCAGTTATAAGCTTTTTTAAATTTTAGACAAAAAAGGGGAAATGTAGTGATACTATGTTCCCCAAAATATATCGTGCACCCTAATAAATTTATCTGGGGTCAGAGAACAGAACAACCACTAGACAGACATAGAGGCCAGAAAATGGTGGCACACATGCCTTTAATCCTAGCATTCCAGAGGCAGAGATCCATGTGGATCTCTGTGAGTTTAAAGCCACACTGGAAACAGCCAGGCATGGTGACTCATGCCTTTAATCCCAGGAAGTGATAGCAGAAAGGTATATCAGGTGTGAGGACCAGAAACTAGCTGGTTAAGCTTTTAGGCTTTTGAGTAGCAGTTCAGCTGAGATTCATTCTGGATGAGGACTCAGAGGCTTCCAGTCTGAGGAAACAGGATCAGCTGAGGAACTGGCAAGGCGAGGTGGCTGTGGCTTGTTCTGCTTCTCTGATCTTCCAGCATTCACCCCAATACCCAGCTCCAGGTTTGTTTTTATTAATAAGACCTGTTGAGATTGTGCTACACACCCCTGAACATATGACAAAATCCCTTAGAGAATTCCTAAAGTGAGATTCAGAGAACTGCAAAAGCAGAAGGAATTTTGCACTTAGAAATATCGTACTAGACTGATGATGAAATTTAGAGTAGTTTGGTGATGTGGGTAGACAAGGCCACATGTCAGAATCTGGACCAGAACACACATTTCCTCACTTCTGGATATACTCTCTTTTCACCCACTACATTGTTCAGTGCTCTCTGCTTCACAGTGTGTGCCTTTGGACAGTCAGAGGAACAAAATTCCGGAGTAATTAGACCAAGTACAGATACTGACCTAACAGTGGATGAGATTATTTTAAACAATAATGTGAGAAGTCATTTGAGTATGGCAAGTAGAGGAAAAATAGAAAAGAAGGAACTGTAGACAACGATTAACAGAAGTACTAGAGGAAATAGTCTCCTCTTTTGTACTGTGATTTTATTATTGTTATTTATTTTGTTAAGTCCATATATTATATAAAACATAACAGGAAAAAATCAACAAATTTATAAAATAAATTGAAAATGTTTGGATGAAAAAACACAGGAGCTTTGCTTCGTGTCTATAGATCTCTCAGTATGCTGTTGGTCTTGCATCTTAAGTATCAAGGAAAGATATCTAGCTTGAAACTAAAGTTGACATGCTGCAAGGTTAAGGAGCAGTTAGTTTGGTGATGGGCCAGGAAATAATATTCTTTAAACCTTATCCTAAAATATTGGCTATAATAAATGCTGATATGCAAAACACAAGCTTTTATCAGACAGCAAGAGGAAAACCTGAGTGAATGAATATAACTTACCTCCAAGTCCTCTGAAAGGAGGTAAGTAAATAAATACTGTGTCTTACCACTGTTCCCCGCAAAGCATTATTCTAAACATGCAGGAGGGTGTTATGAGCAGCTACAATCAATCAGATCTACCCAGAGGTAAGCTCAAGGCCAAGAATAGGAGAGTGGCTGAAGAAATTCTCCTGGGGCCAGTACCATTTCAGAGAATGCCCATCTATGCTAGAAGATAAATCTACAGCCTATGTTCTTCTCATTCAAAAGGACAGTCCCAGTTTCAGCCTTGCTGAAAAGAGGCACTCTTGACCTGCTACTGACAACAGCTGGGAACAGGGTAAGCCTGGCATAACATTATCTAGCAAGCACATGCTAGCTGTTCAGTTTGAAATCTACCAAACTGTAAATGTGAAGGGAAAGAAAACGTTGAAGACGGAGCAGTTCCTCAAGGTGAGGAACAAAAAGAGGGATTAGGCACTCGCTCAACTCTATATGGAGAACTTCTGTCTCAAGCTAGGCAGGAGATAAGAGTATTATCAAAGGCTGACCAGTCCATTTGATGACTAAAATAGGGGGTGGGGGCAACAGGAAGAAAGCTAGTAAAAGGAGTATTTCTAGGTTTGATTAGGAAGCAAGCCTAAGGCAGCCACACCAAAAGTACTCGACTTGTGACTCGGGCAGCAATCTGGTGGCCAGAAAATATTTCAAGATATTTTCAATCCAGAGAAGTGGATAAAAAATATTGTTAACTGAGCAAGTTAAAACCAAACTTCCAATAGTAGGAATCTCTTCAGGTCTGAATCAAAGACACTCACTTTTCATCAATTTTGTGCAGTATTAGGAAAAAAAAAGTAACAAATGTAAAGATTTGTTTTATTTCTACTAGGGGAAGGAAGAGGATAGATATAACTGTTATCCAATTTGCTGTCCGCTGTGTACACACATACCCACACACATACATATACATACACACCAAAAGTTCCCCCCCAAAACCAAAAAACCACCCTCAAACTATACCAATACTTCATATTTTGACCAAAAGAATAGATCCTGGGAAGAAGTGCAAAATGCAAAATCAAATGACCGAAAAATGCTGAACAAACAGCATTATTAATATACAAAATATTTATATTACTGAACTAGTAACAGGTGATGTTCTCCATGTCTGTAAAACTTTGGAACAACAGAGCTGATTGTTAAATCTAGTCCATGCCAGCTTCCAGAACCCAGAGGATTTTAGTTAGCTTCATTTTTTGATGCTTCATCAAAATTTTCTACAAGATCTG